TTTAGTCAAAACCACCGTAGAACTCTGTCGTGTCTTGTGGGAACACTGCATTGGAGACCCCACTGGTGAGTGATGACTCTTTATGAGGATGTCGAGGATTGACAAAAGCATGGTTTTAACCTTTTTATCTAAGCTGTAAGTTTTAACTCTTAATTTTTATTATAATATTTTTAGGTCCTCTTTTATATATATATATTTTTTGAACATATTTGCAAGGGGCGGGTTCGAACCCAGTTCGAAGAGAGGGGAATGCACCGAGATGGTTATTGTCACTACGCCGCAAGGGTCAAGTGCAGGTCCTCTTTTATATGAATTAAAAAAATAGTAGTTGTTTAACATAAAGTTATAATGTTTATTAATTAATTATTAACATGACAAACCATTAACAGTGACAGAAATAAAGTAATCAGAATACTAACAATTAAAAAACATTATAAATTGATATTAAGTAAATGTTATTTTATTTGATTTGTAAAAATAAAGAGTTAAAAGTATTATAAGATAAAGATTAAAATTTATAAACTTATTAAAATAAATAACTAAAAATAAATTTTCACAGGATCAAACTTTCGGAGGTGGTTATTAGTCCATTGGCATGAGTTTTTTTTTACTAAACAAGGGTAATTATAGGGGAAAATGGGAAGAAAATGGATCCAATTCATGAGTTGAGTAAAATATCAATACTTCGTACATCTAATATAAATATGTAAGTGATTAGTGTGATTTGAACTTTCCATTAACCCTACTTAATTGCTAAAATTTAGGAATAAATTATTAAATTATTCAATTGATACGAGTTTATTTACCCAACGTGTATATTAAGTCTTTCAAAAATGTTCACGAATAAAAAAAGAAATCTTTTAAAAGAATAATGATAGGGATCATGAGAATTTATGATAAAAATTTAATATTAATATGTGATATAAATTATTTTATTAAATAATATAATATAAATTATATTTTTAAATTAATTTATATTTATAATATTATGTATTTTAAAAATATTAAAATTTAAATAATATAAAATTTAATTTAAATAATATAAAATTTATCTTTTAATATTTTAAACAACATAATTTATATCACAATATCAAAATTTAATTCAATTTAATTCTTTTTTTTTTCAAAATTATAATTTTGTGCTATGTAAATGTAAAGTTTTACAACTTTGACTCAAAAGAAAATATTTCTTTCATGATAAGATGTTATTATTCAGCTTAAATATTAAAGAAATCATATTATTTAAATAATTTACAATTAATACATTACACGAATAAAAAGATAATTTATTTTATAATCTAAAAACACCGACAGCAGCACTTGGGCCGTGTGGCCCAGTAACTCAAGCTACTAAAAAGTGCACATCCCTCCCCTAGACAGTTTCCATGACAAAACTGTTTAAAAAAAAAACACCGACAGCAAAACATTTCAACTTAAAGTTACGAATGATCAAAACAGTTAAAACACCCTTCTAAAGTTCTTCAGCAACAAAAATATGTAACATAATAACACAATTAATTATTTCAAGAGCTCCTAGATAGGCTGGGTTATTTGATGTGGCAATGATATGCAATTAACGTACACCACCACCAGAACCAATGCCAGCTCCACCGCCAAAACCGCCACCGCCACCTACACCGAAACCACCGCCTCCACCGAATCCTCCTCCACCGCCACCACCAAAGCCTCCTCCCCCCCCAACTCCACCACCAAGCCCACCAGATGTGCCTGCACCACCTCCCCCTCCTAGGCCACCACCTCCACCAACTCCACCTCCCCCCCCAAGCCCACCACCACCACCTACACCTCCACCTAGCCCGCCACCTGCACCTCCGCCACCCCCAAGACCACCACCGCCACCTAAACCATGGCCACCACCTAGCCCACCACCCGCACCTCCTCCACCCCCAAGACCACCACCGCCACCTAAACCATGGCCACCACCTAGCCCACCACCCGCACCTCCTCCACCCCCAAGACCACCACCGCCACCTAAGCCATG